TTGGTGAAGCTTTTCTGGGGGGCAAGTTCCTCTGTTTCATTTGGATGGGTTGTCTATGACTCATGTAGGCAGATGCTAGCATCTTCAGGATTGATTTCTTATTAAATGCAGCTGAATCTTCGCCAGATTCTGGTGATTTCTCATGGTCTTGCACAGAATGGTTTACCACGTTGGAGGTTTTTAAAGCATCACTGTCCTTCTCAGGTAACTGCACTTGCTCTTCGGTCACAGGGTGGGATTCAGATGGCTTCAAGATGTTGCTGTCCACATCTGCAGTGGATTCATTCTCCTTGATGTCAGTGTTTGAAGTAGGAGGTGGACTTTGTGCAAGGGGTTTTTCATTTGAATGGGATGGTGAAAGACTGTGAAAAACTTGGTCTGAGACAGGACGGCTGGAGTCTGTTTTGCCATCTGGCACAACTGGAATACTCTCCAAATCTGATTTGACCTCGTTTTCTGAACCATGTTTCTTTTTGTGGTCCTCAAGAGCTGTAAAACCACTAAACTCCTCGCCACAGTCACATATGTAGGTGTGGGCTGGAGATGCTGGAGTGGGCAACATTATACAGTGGTGTTTTTCAAGGAGATCTTTGCTCGCAAAAAAGCTTCCACAGCTGACACAAGTAGGTAGTGCTGATTCTGGCTGTTGAGAGATTTCACTTGCATGAGACGGCTGGTGCACCAGGAGTGATGCCAAACTGTGAAAAGTAGCTGAGCATGCCACACAGCTGTATGTTTTAGGACTTCCAGTAGAACTTGTTTCTTGAAGTCCAAGCATTTTGTAGGCGCCAGATGATTCCTCTGCCAATGTTAAATGTAATAAATGTTACCAACCTCTTTGTAATTTTTTAGTATCTCCTAAAAAAGAAAGCAAACAAACAACATTAGTGGCATAGCAAATGTTCAAATGTTTTCAATTCAGAAATAAATCATAAAATGTTATATTTACATATGCTGTCATGTTTAGGGCCCTATGAGCTAGAGCTGTGCAATTAATCAAAATACAGTTTAGATTTCGGCCTCCAACGATTATTAAAATACAATAATCGCGATAAAACAAATATTGCACCCCATTCCGCCCCTTTCCAGCTGTGCGCTTTTGCTCCTCCATAAAAGCTCAATTTCACGTGCAAATCAGTAAAATCTTGTTAACATGACTATCGCAAAATGGAACATGCTTTATTTATTAAAGTTTATTCGATTTATTCATGTTTTTAAAAAGCACAAAAGAGAACTTGTGCTGTTCCTCAAGAGGCTTTTTGTGCATGCGCTCAGAGACGGAACAGAACACAGACGTGTAAAGTCAACTTTTAGCTTAAGGTGCGTGCCTAAACGGTCAAATACATGCGAAAATGTGTCAAAATGTGGCACTTGTTGATTATTCACATAAACCCTCGTTGCTTATGTAATAAGTGAACGTAAACAGTTGAGAATGAAAATACATGCGTAACAGTAAAGTGGATCTCTTAAAGTGGCGGCAGGCTAATATTCCTGCTGGGCTGTGTGCTTAATATTAATCAAACAACAAAAGACAAAGACAAAATCACTCACTGCTCTTGACTGAAGGACTTTTGCAGCTTTAATAAGAAACAAAGGAAGCTGAATTCTTACAGTGAAGTACAGTATCCTGTTTCATTTTACATTAAATTATTCAATTTCTGTAGTAGGCTGTTAGCTGAATACTTCAGACTTGCATAAAAAACTTAAACACAGATAATGACCATTTAATTATTTTCAATAACTTTTGAGGACTTTTATTTGTTTTTTACTAATATTAGTTACCCTAGTATTCTGCAGTGGTATTGAGAATTGTGAAATTTCTCTAAATCTCTACATGTCTCTAAAATAGATGTCATAGCAACTTTATTTACAGAAAACATATATTTGATATATATCGCTATCTTTAAATAAATTACTTGTATAAAGTTTTGGTCATGTGGCCCACTCATAATCGTGTTAAATAATTGTTATTAAAATATTGACCAAAATTATCGTGATTATGATTTTTGCCATAATCGAGCAGCCCTACTATGAGCACTGTCAGGTAAGTTATTCTAAAAAGTAATTAACAGTGTAATTATATTACTGTACTAAATACTTTCTCTAAAAAGTATTGCATTACTTACTACTAGTTACTTTTAAAATCCCATATCAACTTCTACCTTAAACAATAGAAGGACAGATATGAAACTGCTCTTTTAATTATTTAAAATAAATAATATAAAATTCCATACATTATTCTAACCAAAGTATTTAATAGGAGAAGGTTACGTTAAAAACTTTGATGGTCAATCCACTATTATTTCATATTGAATTGTTCTATAATCTACCCCTGATAGCACTCGTACATCATGGAGATGTCTGCATTTACATCTGAGTGTTTGCACATCTGCAATACCTCTAGGCTATAGGACGTTTCATATCAAATGTCAAATAGATGGTTTGAAGTTGATGTTGATGTTTATGATTTAGAATGTATGTAAAACTGACATCTTAAAAGACGTCTATCAGATGTTTGTACATAGCAGATGCTTTCCAGATGAAGCGATCTTTAACAAACATCTTGCAGATGTACGTGTGCTATCTGGGACAGTATTTAGAAGTAACTGTAATTAAATTACAGAAAAATTAAGAGTAATCCATTACTTTACTTTTTCAAGGGTAACGTAATTAAATGAATTAAACAAACACTGCCTATGAGTTCAGTGATGTTTCAAAACAAAAGACAATTCTGTAATGCAGTCCTAAAAACTGAATTACCTTTGTACTGTGTAATTTTATATTTGGGTACATTTTGGATGAAATAAAAAAATAAATAAACTAGCATTAAAAACAAACTCTTCACTCTATTTTCTAGGACGAGTAAAGCACAATATTCAATACAGTAACAAAATGAATTGTTTTAAATTATTGTTATTAATATTATTATTATTTAAACAACACATAACAACAAATGTGATGTTTAAATACTGAACATTTCTTGATGTATGACATTAGGGGAACGTAATAATATGTTTAAAAGCGTCTTTCATCTGGAATTTATTTTAAGTACTTTTTACTTTGTGTAAAACCATCATAAATACAAAGATAGCCTTTCGAAAAACTTGGCAACCGTGATTATAACTGTATACTTGGTCAAAAAGCGGAAATCTTTTCAAATCACGTACCGCATGCAACCAATCACATACAACTGTGAGTGAGCGAGTGAGTTCATGCATATTTAAATAAGAAAACTAATTTCTCCTTAGAAAACTCAGCTGTTTTCTAAAATTGCTGCACCGCTTTCGTTTTTAAGTTGTGTTAAAGTATTCGTTATACACAGCCTACGTTTCAAATGTAGCAACAATAGAGGCAGAAAAAAGCAAGCCTGCTCATGCTTACCGATTATGATAGGCCTTACCGTTGCACTTCACTAAAACGTTTAAATAAACGCCGTTTCACAACAATTAAAACGCAACACCAGGGTAATCTAAAGATTAATCGTCATTTAGTTTTAGTCGAAAGTATAAAAAAGCGTGAATAGAATCTAACAAATGCTAATAACAAGCATCGCAATGGATGCTGCAGATTTAGAATGCTCTACAGATATACACAGATAGAACTATACAATTAGCCTGCAACATCTCAACGCTGAATTACACCTCTTTACAAAATCAAACGCGCTTTGTGGCTAATTCTTCTTGGGGGATACAGTGCATGCGGAACGTCATTCGTGTGCTGCACAAGGGAATTGAATGACAAAAACAGCAGCTAAGGGCTGTATGCACGAAATAACAACGAACCATAACAAGTACCTCAAACTGTTACTGGCTTGCACTCACCTTGGGAAAGTACAATTTGCAAACTTGCATGATTTTAATGAAATACGTTATTTATTTTCAATCGAATGGCGGTATATATTTTGCACCCAGTTTCTGTAGAGACGTGTAATTCCCGCCGTTCACTATAGAGGGCAGTATCTCTGAGCGCTCGCTCCCATTCTTCTTCTTCTTCTTTTGATGTTTTATGGCGGTTGGCAAACCAGCTTTTGGTGCATATTCCGCCACCTACTGGGATGGAGTGTGAGGCGACGATATCAAGGAAAATGCTAATTAAAAAAATAAAAAAAAATCCTTCTTACCTATATTTTATTATATACATTTGTTCTTTTCAGAAAATTAATAAGAGCTTTATAACCTTTATGAGAACTGTTTAACACATTCTGTAATGTCATAGAATTAATGCCGGCAGATTTTAATTCCTCTTTTAACTGAGACAGCAAAAATCATCTGGCCCAGAACTCTCATAAGTTTTGGGCCAAATCCACATAACGGACTTGGGCCGGTGTCTTTTGGCACAACGGGCCAATACCGGCACACATCCGTTTTTTTCTTCATCTGGACCAGCACTGGGCCAGCTCCGTACCAGATGTGGGTTCCTTTATGCTGATTTGGCCCATACGCGGGCCAGATCTGGTCCAACTTTGTTCTGGATATGGTCCAGTACTGTACTGGATTCAGACCAGCTCATTTTCTGGAAACACGCTCATGAACACATACGCATTAGTATATTTATCTCGAATTTTAAGCATATATATTTTATATATTTTATTGTCTTATGCTACTGCTACTTTTCCTGTTAAGTTTTAACATGAAGCTTTTAGACAACAAAAAGTTGCAAGTACTGATTTAGATGTATAAACAATTACTGTAATTTTTACACTTTTACAGTAAAATACCACCTGCTATGCAGTGTTAGTGCTATCTTAGCAGCTACTACTTCACTGTACACATAAATTGGGCAGAGAATAAAACTGGAAAGAGAAAATTCGACATATTCAAGGCCTCTGTCTTTTGATTCACCTTCCATTTATTTTAGCACATAAAAACAAATGCACAAAACAATGCAAAAACAGTGGTACAAAAGCTTTGAATAGTGATACAAGAACAATTTATCTCGTAACTTTTGTAAATGCTTATTTGTAAAATATATTTTAAAGAGCATTTTGGAATAGGTACTTGTAGATTTAATATTCATCAGCCAAAAATGTGGTCTTCAGCAGAAAAAAGGCAGGGAAAGTTGGCAAAGAAATAAAAAAAATAAAATAAAATAATCTAAACAAAATAACTTCACATGATGAACCATAAACACCACAAAGAACCAAACAGGACAGGTAGGAATGCGCTGGTATTACAAACCGCTACAGACATGCAGTTTAATTCCCAGGCATCTGCAAGCAAAAGACCAAGAAGAAAGCTGTTAGTTTTGTTTAGAGCCAGACTTTTGGCTGACTGTAAATGGACTATACATATTATATAAAAAATAAAATCTAGCACAACAAATAAATGAAAGTTCAAAGAGGTCCGGTCTCTGTATTTCCTTCCCAACGGAGGTCCAGACAATACATTTGACCCTGAGCGCATGTGGTGTGTATCGCTCCATAGTTTTACATTTAATCTGTAGAAATGATTGAATGGCCCAATTAGGTCCTGCGGTCTGGATGAAACCAAGCCGGGGTCCGGAACTACAGTCAGAAGGTCCTACAGGCAAAAAGTATTGGCAGTGACATAAATTGTGTGTGCTTTGCAAAGTTTGCTGCTTAAGCTGTTGTGGTTCATTCACATTGGTTCTAGATTATTGTGTAGAGTCATCAGATGCATTTTAAATAATTGCTAAAAGCTTCATTGGCCAAAAAACATGAACTTTTCTCAAAAAAAACAAATGTCACTGTTTTTTGATCCTGACACAAAATGGCCAGCTAACATTAATTGACTAATTATATCAGCAGCACATGTGAAAGTGTGAATGAGTACTAGTCAGGTAAAATCACTATCATACTAATTAGATTGTAAGAGGAGACTGATTGCTATAAAAGGAGGGAAGAAGTGCTTCCAATCATTGTTCTTGTTAGCAATGGTTACCTCCAAAGAGACACGTGCAGCCATCATTGCTTTGCATCAAAATGGCCTCACATGCAAGAAAATTGCTACAAAGAATATGAGTCAGCTACAGAATCGTGTCACCAGCAGTGCAGAGCTTGCTCAGGAATGGCAGCAGGTTGGTGTGAGAGCATCTGCACGCACAGTGAGGCCAAGACTTTTGGACAACGGCCTGGTGTCAAGAAGGGCAGCAAAGAAGCCACTTATCTCCAAGAAAAACGTCAAGGACAGACTGAAATTCTACAGGAAGTACAAGGATTGGACAGCAGAAGACTGGTGCAAAGTTATTTTCTCTGATGAAGCTCCCTTCTGACTGTTTGGGACATCTGGAAAATCAATTGTTCGGAGAAGAAAAGGTGAACGCTACCATGAGTCCTGTGACTTGCCAACAGAGAAGCATCCAAAGATCATCCATGTGTGGGGTTGCTTTTCAACCAAGGGAGTGGGCTCTCTCATAATTCTGCCCAAAAACACTGCCATGAATAAAGAATGGTATTTCAACGTCCTGCAAGAGCGACTTCTTCCAACGATCCATGAGCAATTTGGTGATGATCTGTGCATTTTCCAGCATGATGGAGCACCATGTCACAAAGCAAGAGTGATAAAGAAGTGGCTCGAAGATCATTACATTGAAATTTTGGATCCGTGGCCAGACAACTCCCCGGATCTCAGTCCCATAGAGAACCTGTGGTCAGTCCTCAAAAGGCGAATGGACAAGCAGAAGCCCAAAAATTGTGATCAACTCCAAGAAATAATAAGGCAAAAATGGATGGCCAGCAGTCAGGATTTGGTCCAGAAGCTAATATCCAATATGCCAGAGCAAATTGCAGAGGTTATGAAGAACAAGGGTCAACACTGTAAATATTGAATCATTAAATTTTTTTGCCAATAAAAGCCTTTAAAACTTAGGATATGCTTGTCATTGTTTTTCAGTATACCATAGAAACGTAGAAAAACAAATCGACAAATATTGAAGCAGCAAACACAAAATTTATGTCACTGCCAATACTTTTGGCCATGACTGTTGAGTCTGCCATTTGAATACCACTGTTCTGTACGTTTGTCTTTACGTTAAAACAGTTAATAGTCATGTAACTATCCCACTGAATGAGGAATCTAGACAAGCCTCATAGCAGTCATACAAGTCTCTATACTATTGCTGCGGATAGTCATCCCTGATCTGGTGGAGACTTTTATGTGTACTGCATCTTTCAATTTATGAGGTCAGCCACTGTTGCTTACTGTAATGTTACACTGATGGAAAAACAGTAAAACACAACCTGTCACTGTGCATCTTCTGAAACTTACCTCAGTTAATGCCTCTTTGGCTCTTGCACGTTCTTTCCGGCCGCCGCCACGGTCAGAGGCAAGATCGAACCAACGGATGTTGTGAGAATCTATTTCACTATCTGTTGCACTGGTAAAACACTGGTTATTCCTTACAGCTCCTGTTGAGAAAAAAAAATGTGCAATAAACATCTCCAACATCCCTGGACTAATTACTGTTTTAGATTAATCAAAATCAGATGTCACAAAAGAAGTTTATGGTTTATGGTGTTTATGTATTTTTGTTTGATGGGACTGAATAACAAATATAAGAAATGAATAAAACCAAATAATAGTATTTTGGCCATATATATCATTTAGGTTGTAGAGATGGTTTAAGGAAGGTGTTTTCAACTCAACGCCTTGGTATTATGCCATACTTACTGATCAGCAAACTTCTTGTTTGCATTTCCTTAAAGCACTTCTTCCCATTGACTCCCTTCCAGTTTATCTGTTTGGCTACTGCATCGGAGAAAACACTTGAGAGTATGTTCCACGTTACTTTTTTGGTGTTTTGTCCCCCGATGCCACCCAGCGCAGATATCTGACAAGACAAAATGCATTATTCTATTTTCTGTTTAGATTAAACATCTCAAAATATATGACAGCAGTAAATACAATATAGCCACATAGAAAAGTTCTACAGCAATCATGACATAGCTTAAAAAAAAAAAAAAACATACCATGTTTTGTTTAGCCTGTGCGTTTCTTGAATCTTTAAGCCACTCCTCAAACTCCTCAACTTCAGGCATAGTGGCCAGTGGGATACTGATGTGATGAGGCATTTCAGCCACAGGAGTCTCTGTCCCCAGTCGTGCAGAAAGATTATTGACAGCAGCAGCAAGCTGCATTTGTTGTTCCTTCACATGTTCCAATAACGTTAGGATGTGCAGCTGAGCAGCTACAAAATATGAGGTAAGAAAGCATTTAATGACTGAAAATACAAAGTTCTCTCAATGCGTATAATGTTAAAATTGGATAATCACAGAAAGTTACCAGAGCAAGGAATAGGTCCAGTGCCTGTATTCCCCAGTCTAAATGTGGGCCTAAAGGAATGCTCATTTGACAGAAACATGGCAGAGATCTGGTCCATAGAGCTCGATGGCATGTGAGAAGAAGACCTAGCAGCTGGAGGCTCTGTGACCAGAGAGAGGCAAGATGAACTCATTGTTTTTGTCCATAGTTGATCACTTTGATAAGCAATGCTTGTAAGCATACAATTATTAAGTACCTGTGTAACCATCTTCAGGATGCGTCAGATCTGGAACATGTCCAACAGAGGAGTGGCGTAGAGGACTGGAAGGCGTACTAGATGTATTAAAGGGGACAGGTGGTGCTGCGAAACATGAAAATGACAATATTTTTAAGTGAACAATATATAACATTATATAATTAAGTGTCATACTAATAAATCCTTCAAGTTTACGATGAAAAATGTCCAGCTGAGACCTTTTAGGTCTGCTGAGCTGCATCAGTCCCATAGAAGTAACTTGACTTAATACAGTTATGTTAATGGTACAACTAAACAGTTAGATATTAACAAAAACATTGCTTTCAAAATGTTTCTATGGAAAAACAGGAATATATCATTAAAAGAAGATGATCCAGCCAGCCTCAGGTCTAGCAGTGGTCTCGCAAAAGTTTGTCTTCTTTCCCTAGATGGTACATCAGGTGTAGGTGGAGGAAGAGGAGGCACTGGACAAAGAGAGACATTGTTGTATCTCCTCTTGACACCACCCTCTGGCTCACTGTCAGAGTCTGTTTCACCAAACATTTCTGTACATATCTATATATTTGTTATTTACATATCTACATCTTTCACACTGTATATCTAAAAATTAGGGTTTTTTTTGCAGGAGGGTGATTCTATAATTGCAGGTACATTTGGTGTCCGAAGTCATTATTTTTTTCTGCTTTTTTTTTTTCAAATGGTTATATTTTTAATTATTTTAATAATTTGTTACTTATTGTTATGAATTACAAGATGTTACAGCCAATAACAATATAATATTTGTGTAAAAAGTGTCTTAAATAGCTCAAAATCATGATTTATTGTTGTCCGAATGAGTCAGTGCATTTTTTCCATCATGTATCATTGTGTAATCAAAATATTTTATTGTATTTTCTTTTTGTAATATTTCATTCATTTTATTTATAAAAGCCCTAAATACTAATTTACTTAATTCTACATGATGACACTTTCCCTCACTGGATAAGATCTGAAGCATGAAAAGTCTGTGTGCTCTCTCTGAGAAAATATTTTAATCTAAAAAGTTCTTATTCCATCAGTTATTTTGAAGAACATCAACACTGTTGCCACAATATCAAAAGGAATGATTTTGCTAGCAATTTTGCTAGATTTTGCATTTATGCTAGCAAGTGGAGTTTTTGGCAAAAATAAAATAAAATTGTCAATTCTGTTACCGTCAAACTCTGTTACCAAGGTAGAGTAACAATGCTGACAATAGTGTAACAGAATTGACAGTCCACCAGATAATTATGTCAATTCTGTTACTTTACAATTCTGTTACTTAAAGGGTCAACTCTGTTTATGAACTATTTTCACAAATAAAACTATACAACTGTTGTTTAAAATCTCAAACATTATTGAGATATGATGCACCCTTATATTTCAACAACATTTCTTTTTTTTTTACTGGATATCGTATACAATACATTTTCAGATGAAAAATATTTGCTCCAAGCGGACAATTCTGTGAAGACATAGGTATTTTATTTTTAAGGTATGCCTAGGTGAAATATTATCTCAGTTCCAAATGTTGGAATGTAAGGACTGTTTGTCTAATGATACAAGAAGGATTTTTCCTTTTATGATTTATTGTTATTTCTACACATTGCCTAATTTGTCCTATACAGAGTTGACAAACAATACCATAAAGACATCAGTTTTTTTCATTAAAAGTAAACAAAAAAAAAGTAAGTAACTTGTGTTTGGCAAGCACTGAATTATTAAAATCGAATATGTTTTCAATAAGATACTGGAAAGAATTTCTGTTAGTGAACAGTTTTTTTCTTAACTTTATGAAATGCCAAATGTATCTCCAATTATAGAATCACCCAGGAGGTCTTAGCTACCTTTAACCTTAATTAAAGGCATTCATATTAACCTTTAATGACAGCCTCTCTCTAACATCACAATGCAGCAAACTTCAACCGTTTAAATTAATAGAGACAGTTCAAATGAGTCTCTTACACATAATGACCGACTTCTGGACAGTCTTCATGTTAGCATACCCTCTGAGTCTGAACACATAGGAGTTAGCTAACATCACGATTAAATAAAGAGCAAAAAACTCCCAGCCTTTTCAGTTAACGACTACACAACAAAATCAATATGAAATTACAGTTTGACCACACAGTGTGACTTACCTTTGTGAAGATTTTGAGGTAGGATACTGTGACTGCCTTTTCAACTCCAGAAAAATCCGCGCACTCGGTTCAAATGGTGCGGCGGTGTTACGAGATTTTTGGTTTCCGAGATTTTCGGTTTCAGTGGGCGGAGCATACATGCATATTCATGAGTTTCCCGGATATGCGACTGGAATCAAGTGGAACTGAGAATTCCAGTTCACGCTCCTTGTATCTCAGCAGGTTTAATGGAATATATATATTTTTAAAAAGGTAAATATATTTACAGTGTTGCACAAACTACATTTGTTTATAATTTTGTAACAGTTAATAATGTTTTATTTTATTCACTGTAATAAAAACATTATAAACTGTTACGAAATGATGAACAAATGTAGTTTAGGCATAGGTTTGTGCAACACTGTAAATATATTTACCTTTTTTAAAATATTCCATTAAACAAAAAAAAATTGTGATGCCTACATTTTGCAGTGTGAACCGCAAAATATCTTTGACGTTCTGAACTCGCTCTGGACTCGAAAAACACACGCGCTCGTTTCGGACGCGGCCCGGATCCGCTCTGACTGCTACAGTAGTTCCCGCCCACTGAAACCGAGCCCGTGCTGGATCTGTGTTAGAGCACTGAAACCGAGCCCGGGCTGGATCTGTGTTAGAGCACTGAAACGGATGTGACTGTAACGCGGATTTGCCGGTTTGAAAACGGATCCGGCGCAGAGTCAGCTGCTGTCTGGGCATCCTCTGGCAATAAATGATAACACCACCATATCAGTGGCCTAATAAACATTTTGCAACCTACACTGACGTTATTCTGTGTCATCTGTTCTTTGACCATGTGTTGCACTGTACTTGGATGATACACAATGATGATCATTGATAAAAATGCATGGTCAATTCTGTAATGTCATAGAATTAATGCCGTCAGATTTTAATTCCTCTTTTAACTGTATTCTTTCCCTTTCATATGCCCTACAGTTAATCAGCACATGCTCTACAGTTTCTGGAAGTCCACAATGATTACATTGACCAGATTCATGTCTTCCTATCATCTGGAGTGATTTATTAAGAGTAGAGTGTCCAATTCTCAATCGAGAATCATCCCTTCTATTACCAAAAGCAGTTCTTACGTGGCCTACTTGTTTATTTATATTATACAAATGTCACCCTTTGTTACCTTTATCCCATCTCTCTTGCCATATCTTTCTGAAATTCTGATTTACTCAAGGGTACCACTCAGTATACTTGTGAGTGCAGAATATGGATCTGAACAGATTATACCACTGTTGTTGTTTGGATTTCTTCCACCCACTGTAAAGCTATCTGAATAGCGATCATCTCTGCTGCATATACTGATATATCATTAGCAGTTCTTTTTGCAGATTTATATTTAAAGTGAGGACTATACATGGCAGCACTTGTACGCCCAGTTTCTGGGTTTTTAGAACCATCTGTATAAATTTGTAAAAATTGAAAGTAATGACTATCTAAATGCTGCTGCACTATTGTCTCTTTTGGAACATATTTCTTGTTTTCATTTATTAAATTAAATATTTGCAAATCAACTGTTGGCATAGAAAAAAGCCAAAGTGGATATACTGGCAGAGCCACCATGGGGCTAATATCGATATTACTGATACCTATTTGTTGAGCCTGCTTGCCTGTCCAGCTAAAGCTATTCAGATATGTCTGCTCATATTCCCAGCAGCTCTCCAATATTTTTTTTACTGGATGATTGGTAAAATGACCTTTAATACCAGTCCAATATACCATTTTAAGCTGAATTTCACGAATGTCTAGTGGTGTTTCACCCATTTCTACCTGCAAAGCTGTCACAGGATTGGATCTAAACGCTCCACAACATATTCTAAGGGCTTGGTTTTGAATCACCTCTATCCAAGTTGCTCACTCCCATTCCCCACATGTAAGGTTTAAATATACTGCCATCAACTGGTGTGAGGGACCGGTCCGATTTACCCCCCAGAAACAGACCTACACCTTTCTCATTAAATACAAATATTACTAATTCATAGTTTTCATTCACGTGACTGGCTCGAAGACCTGGCTGGCAAAACATCAATAGAACTGCAGCACAAGCCTGTCGATTTTCGATCTGTTCCAATCCAAAAATAATTTAGATTAGGCCTACCCCTCAAAAGAATAAAACAAAGATATGTGAACAAAATTCCAGTTTTGGCCATTAGCAATCCATATAAATCACCAGCCGCAATATTTCAATCACTAAAAACAGTGGTAGGCCTACATTCTAAAACGTTTAATGTGAAAACACTAAAGTGCCTTTAAAACAGTAAAAAGATCAAATTCAGTACACACCTAATTGATGAGGCATGCATGCTTTGATTCAGGCAAGCAATTGAGCATGAACGCAATGCGCTAAATTGTTAAGCGTCTTCTTTATCATGGTTTATGGGAAAACATTTAATATTAAACTTTGCGCATTGTGTTTATATTCTGGGTTCTTCTGCTTGCCTGTACAAAGTATGCATCATCATTGAGGTAATTTGGCCTTTAAATATCACTGTCTTACTACAGCCATCATGGCCAAAAGTTTTGGCAGTGACATCAATATGTATTGTATGAATTGCCCTTACTCTGAAATAAAAAATACGGGGTGTCTATTTACATTTAGTTAAAAGTGGCTGTAGATTATCAGCTTCAGTGGCGCAGATGGATAAGTGCGTGCCCTTGGCTTTTTGATGCGATTGACCTGGGTTCGATCCCACATTTTGCCGAATTTTTTTTTCCCCTCCCTTTTCAAATCTCGCTTTGCACTTCTCGGCCACCGTATCATTGGCCAAAAAATGAACTTTTCACAAAAAAACAAATTTCACAGTTTTTTTATCCCGACACAAAATGACCAGCTAACATTAATTGACTAATCATATCAGCAGCACATGTGAAAGTGTGAATGAGTACTAGTCAGGTAAAATCACTATCGTACTAATTAGATTGTACGAGCAGACCAATTGCTATAAAAGGAGGGAAGAAGCGCTTACAATCGTGTTCTTGTTAGCAATAGTTACCTCCAAAGAAACACGTGCAGCCATCATCGCTTTGCATCAAAATGGCCTCACATGCAAGGAAATTGCTACAAAGAATATTGCACCTGAAAGAACCATTTACCATTGAAGAGGTTGCTGATAGGAAGCAGCAGGGCTGAACTAGGCTTCTCCTTCAACCAAAAAAACAGCTACTTTGTTCTAAAACAGAGCAACCAGTTTATATTTGATTTCACTATAACTATTGATGATCATGTGGTGGTTCCATAAACACATTTCTTCATTGGCTATATGGTTAACATGGAATGGTATGGAAAACAGTAAAATAATGATGCAGAAATATTATCTACGTATATTGTGTTTTGTAGAGGTCAACAAAACATGAGTATCATGCAGTGCCTTTGTGTTAGAACTTCCTTAGTATTATTAAGTTATTCATACAATGACAATCATAAATATCACTGTTTTAAGTCAAACTGATCTTGAGATATCTTCTGGCCATTGTTTAGAATCAGCCATTATTGTCAACTCAAGATATATCTGGTCAGTTATCAATTTATAAGAACCATTGGGGGAACCATAATATTTTCTTAAATCAATTAAATTAAAAATAAATGAAACGCAAAAATAAAGTAACCGATGATAGAGGTTTCACTTTTAATGTATACTAATACCAAGGGCAAATGCACTACACACTCCGAATCTTGAGCCAAATGTCGTAAGAGAGCCCATATAGTCTAAAAGAACCAATGAATACACTGGTAGCTTTTGACCTGTAGATATAGCTGCATTAGATTCACAATTACAAGATAAAACAAAAATCTCAGTAGGGACTGTAATTAACTGAGAGATGCTGAAACTCCTAATCCAATGTCTACATAACCATGATTGGTAATATTAAAGGTCAGGAAGACTGGCCATGATCTGTGAATATAAAATAGAAAAACCTTAACTCGTAACATTACAGATAGTTCAACTTTAACATGACTAATACTTGTTTTTTTTCACTGTGGAAAATTGAGCTCTCTTTGTTTATACAAGTGGTGAACCCCCTTTGAGGCTACCCTCTAATGTAGGTTTCAGGCACTATGGAGGGGTATTTTATACATACCTGACTGACTAGCAGGTTGGTCTCCAGTCATTATAAAAATGTAGTTGTTAGTAGTTACTACAAAATCCATTTCCCAGTATGAGAACAATCCTGTATAACAATAGTTTATGCTTTCAATAAAATTCACACCAAGTTACTGACTGTTGAGTTTTTTTATAAATTAGACTTCCTTAGTGAAGCCATATTTAAGTGGATATAAAATGTGGTTTATTATGACCTGTACCTCAAATCATTCCAAAAGTGAAAGAAACAGCTCAAACAACAAAACAGATGTAAATGTTTTTACTAGTTGAAGAAATTTTCAATATTGCCATATAAAAGTAAAACTTAACATCAGGTTTTCATAGCCATGTATGTCAGCACAGATGTAGATTAAACTCAGACAGAATGGATACAGCATTATTTGTCAAGCCTGAAGTTTACTTTTTTTAGTTTGAGGCAAGCTATTGAAGTTAGACTATTCTCAATAAACATAAAATACATTAACTAAAAGGCATTCACATCATATGTAACTACTGTGTAATGACCCTTTAACTTGACCTTAAATGTTTACAAAAAGACAAAAAAAAAAAAATAAAATTTACACGGCTTGGCATTACTATGAAACATTAACATTAATCTACCGATTTCCTCTAACCTTCATAATGATATTTAAAAATGCATTATATGGCTAGTAAATTTAGCAAGGTCAAAAATTACTTCAATGGAGAAATGACGCAGGATTTACTATACATACTAAACTATACATCCTTGTGAACTGTACTGTGGAACATTAACATCTCCAATGACTTTCATGCACATATGCCTATAGTTCCATACATCATCTAGATTACATAAATGTAATTTTCACAAGTCTGAGTACTGTACAAACAAAAATGAGTGAGCAGTTCACAGAACTGTAGAAACAGAGCAAATTGTATGAACATTAACAGACCAATTCAGAATTTGGGTAAAACACCAATATCATATTTCAACGTGGATAAAAGCAGTTAGGCCTATGTAAAAACAACAATGAATTGCATGTACAGTTGATCTTATCTTAACAAATAACATTCAAAAAAACGGAATGATTTTGAATAACCTGCATTGCAGGAAACTGAGTTATCAGTAATTCAACCTTCATTCATTTACTGAGCTTTGATAGGGAAAATGGGTTGGTGACTGTGACTGAAGAGATTCTGTAGAAGCAGCACCATGAGTCCTCTGATGCTCCTCCAAAAGATTTAGAAAAGCAAAGGCTTTGTCACACTCTGTGCATTCATAGACCACTTGTCCTACATGGGTTTCTAGATGCTTTTGCAAATGAGCAAACATGGTGAAGGATTTATAGCACATATCGCACCGGTACTCTCTGTTGTCCTCACTCAGGTTTTGATGTTCAGCATGTTTCCTTTTATGTTTTGCAAGATCTTTTGCTGTAAGGTAGGTTCTGCTGCATATTGGGCACTGGTGTTGCCTTTTTGCATCATGCATTTTACGGTGAGATACAAGAGCCGGTTCGGTTTTAAAGGATTCTGAGCACACATCACACTGGTAAGGCCGTTCACTGTGTATCTGCTGGTGCTGCGTAAGGTAGCGTTTCTTCGTAAAGTCTTTTTTACAAACCAAGCACTTGAAAGGACGCGGATCCTCATGATGCTTTTTATGGTGCTCCATTAAACTGCTATTTGAGGAGAACCGTCTTTTACAGATAGGACAAATAATAAAGTCTTCTCCAACATCAACCTCCTCCTCTTCTTCATCACCTGCTTGAAAATGAGGCCCTGAACTCTGCTTCTTGGAGGAAGAGCCAGATGGCTCTGAACGGCGCTTTTCTGAAAAGGTCAAATTTCTATTACTACAGTGGTGTTTGCGGAAAGCATCACTTCCAAGAAAGCTGTCTCCACATTCCGTGCATTCATACTGAGTAGCAGCAGACAAATGACATTGTTCATGTTCATCAAGGTCCTTCTTAGTGGGAAAAGTCATATTACAAACACTGCACATGTGAGAATGAACAGAGAGGTGATTTGCGAGGTCCAAGGCTTGGTAAAAACTCTCTGGACATATGGGGCACTGGTAAATTTTGTCACGCTTTACAGTTTCTACACGGACCATCTTTTCACTGGTAGGAAAGTTAGTGTCCTTGGAAGCCTTTTCATTCCCATGGCTTCGTAAATGAGTGCGAAAAAGGTGGTGGTGGGTGAAGCTCATGCTGCAATGATTACACTGATAAGAACGTGGACCCGACAGCTGATGGCTGAGCTGATGCTTTTTTAGGTGAAAACCATGTAAAAAATGCTTGTTACATTCAGGACATGAGTATGGGCGCTCTTTTGCTGGATTGCAGCCATGTTCTGAGAGTTGCTCTGGGTCTGAAAATCTTACTTGACAAATTCCACAGCGATACTTGTACTGCTCAACATTACTTGAGATGGCAGGAGTCACTTGCATTGTTTGAGGCGGTTTGGGGGGAATCAATGGTGGAAGCTCCTCTTCTTGCTCTGTGTGCATCTTGCGATGTTCTGCCCGACTTGTTTTGCAGGAAAAGGTTTCATCACAAAGGTCACATGGAAAGTTTTCATCACGGTGGGTAACCATGTGCTCAGCTAGTTCCGTTGAGCGTGTAAAGCTCAGGTGACACTTGGTACAGCGGTGAGGACGCTTTCTGATATGTGTCTGCTTGTGTTTGCGCAGGGAGAAGAGCGAGACAAACCCTTTACCACACATTTGACACTGAAACTCTGACTTGTGGCACCGCTGATGTTGTTGCAAGTTCGCAAGCTGAAAAAAGCACTTCCCACATTCTTCACACTCAAAGGGTTTTTCACCGAGATGACAAAAATTTCTGGAGTCTTCCTCATCTGATTCCTGACTTGCACTGCCAGAAGATTTTTTCAATTCATTATCAGAGAGGGATTTGATAAAATCCTCTTTGTGTTTTATTCTGCAGTGCTTCATGAATGACTTTTTTAACATATAGGTTTTGTCACATGGTTCACACCTATATACTTCAGGCTGCTCCGTTCTTACTTTCACACTAGATTCTTTTGAGTTGGGTGGGTGTGCGCGCAAATGAACCATCCTGTGGTGAATGGTCAGAGCTTTAGCGGTCCAAAACCGCATCTTACAACTGTTACAGGCAAAGGGACGACTAGGGTCATGACGAGATCTATGAATGTCCAGGTCAGATGGAAAACGAAAACTCTTGAAACAAATTTCACAAGTATTATCCATTTTTTCCTGATGCTGCATTTTCACATGCTTTTGCAATATACCAGCTTGAGCAAAGACTTTATTGCACACATGGCATCTGTGGATATCTGATCTGCGCTCTTGATCCTCACGGCCATGCTCCTCCAAATGACTTATGAGTCTCAGTCCATCGGTGAAACTCTGATCACACTCAGAACACTGATACTTGTGAATAGAGACATCATCTTTCTCTGCATCATTTTCCTGGTCTTGATCTTTACATGAGAATTTAGTCTGCAGTACTCCAGTTCCTGTTGTATTACAACCCTTGTTAAATACTAGAACAGTGTCGTTTAATTCACCTGCACTTTCCATCGCAGATCCATTATTCGAGATAACTGTGTGACCTGTACATTTTCTTCTGTGTTTCTCCATTGTCTTTCTGGTCCAAAAACCAACATGACATTTTGTGCAAGAAAGCGGGTACACTCCCTTATGTATGCGCATGTGCATACCCAGGCCAGCACTTCTGGAAAACCGCATGTTGCACTGTGGGCATTTAAGAGGCTTGATAAGGTCTGTGTTTGTACTTGCACGCCATTCCCTTGTGTTTATCCGACTGCTGCTTTCTTGGTTCTGTCCATATCCCTCATCAACCTGCTCTTGCTTTATGACTTGCATGCGACTTGATACCAATTGCTGCTGATCGTTATTTGACTCTTGTCGCTGATCAGATCTATGCTTTGCTAAAAAATGCTGCTGGAGCTGGGAGAACAATAAAAAACGGTCACTACAGTTAGCACAGGAAAAACCTTTTATCTCGGTGGGGGTCTTGTCTTTTTCATTTACCTCTTGAGATGATCCGGATGATTTTGAGCTAATGACACACATCTTCTGGTGTACAGACAGTGCGTCCCGGGTAAACAGGTCACCGCACTTATCACAAAGAATTTTTTCTTGATTTTCTCCCTTTCCATTGCATTTAGCCAAATGTCGTTTCAAATAGTCTGTTCTGATGAAATGCTCTCCACAGTTGGCGCAGCCATATGGTTTTTCCCCTGTATGAAGACGTACATGCACCTTCAGTTGTCCAGATAATTTAAAGCGTCGAGGGCAATACTCACATTGGTATTTAAATTTATTCATGTAGTGTACCTGTATACGTTGCAGAAGTTTGGATGTTTCTTTGCATGGTTGGATTTGAACATCATTCTTGGCAGGCGGCACACTTTCCTTTGAAATCTTTTTGCATCTGATTGTGAGGTTGTGCCTCATCAAAGTCTTTTTAGAACTGTAAGTTTTGCCACATCTTTTGCAGGGAAAAGGTTTATCGGTGATATGGAGCATGGACATATGACGCTTTAGATCACTCGGGGTGGACAACCGCTTTGAGCAAACTTTGCATTGCAACATGTCACCATCTTCCTGGGTTTTGCTTTGGGGACTTGTGCTCAAGCTGTCGAGACTTATCTTTACAACTCGTACCTCAAGTTGACGCTTTCCTCTGCAGCGGGCTTGGTGCAGTTTTAAATGATCATAGCGTGAGAAACAACTTTCACAAGTCTTGCACCGATATGGCTTGACTTCTGTATGAGTGAGAATGTGGCGTCTTAGATATCTGGCCCTCAAAAAAGATTTAGTGCAAAATTTGCACTTCAATGCCTCACCATTTTCTCCAGGGACCACAGTGCCCTCTTTCTGATTTTTTACTTCAGCAAACATTGATTTAATTTTCTCAGATCCTCTTAAACTCTCCAATCTATGTTCCTTGCACACACCATCACAAAATGCCTCATGTTGCAAGTATTGATCCTGACTGTCAAATTTCTGTCCACAATGCATGCATGCATATGCCGTTTCCTTTGAATGAAGAGACAGATGTCTCTGTAGAAAACTGCTAGATCTAAAACATTTAAAGCATTGTGGGCATTTCTGCTTAAATTTGCCCTTCTCATTTGTTCCTGTTCCAGTTTCCGTTTCAGTATCAGTTTTGTTCTGCTTGCCCTGGCACTGCTTTTCGTGACCATTTCTGTAGTTTTTTCTAGTAAAAACTCTCCCACATTTTCTGCAAGCAGGTTTCATCTGGTCTCCATTGCAGAGCTCCACATGATCCTTAAATTTTCTTTTCCTGTAAAACTTCCCACACTTTGAGCAAGGGAAAACTGTCTTGGCCAAGTGGGCTCTCTCATGGAGTTTCAAATTGTTTGGAAAACGAAAGGAATGTGGGCAGTATGAGCAATTATAGGCTTTGTTGGTCTTTTTTGAAGAAGTGTCTACACCATGTTCTGCCTGTAATTGTTTAGCATTTGAGGTTTGTAATGGAGGTGGTTGCTCCGCTGTACATTTTTCCTGATGTAATTTAAGAACTTCCTTTCTGTGGAAGTGCCTGCCACAAGTTAGACATGGAAAAGGCTTTTCACCAGTGTGAAGGCGAATGTGACGAATAAGCCCAGTACGACTCGAGAAATGGCGTTTGCAGAACTGACATTTGGATGCAGAAGGTCCAGGCATATGAGTTAAACAATGCTCACTAAGTGCCTTTGAGTCAATGAAGGCTTCTTGGCAGAGACCACATTTGAACTCCTCTTTGTAAATTTCTTGTACCTTTTGAGGTGTAGCTTGGTCCTTTGGAGGGAGAAGTTCCTTAAGTTTGCGCCTTCTCTCATGCACAGCCACATGTCGAAGCAGAAATACTGGAAACTTGAACTGCAAAGGGCAATCAGGGCACTTAAGCATGCCTTTTTTTGGATGGGACTGTCTGTGTTCTAACAAATCTCCAATAGACGGCAGAACCTCCCAGCAGACTGAACACTGTACATTCCTCCTGTGCACATTTTTGTGAGCCATTAGGTGTCCATGCCTGGCAAAATTTTTACCACAGTCTAAACAACGAAAAGGTTTGTTTCCTTTATGAAGTCGTAAGTGCTTTTTTAAGGAGTCAGGTGAAGCAAAGGCTCTTCCACAGAAGCGACAAGAGAAAGGAAGTCTTGTGTCATCAGCACATTCTTGGCTAGTTGGTCTTTGCCCAGGAGAGCTTGAACTTTTCAAATTAACAGCATTACCACGCTTGTGTTTGATTGCCTTTTTGGCATGTCCAAGCAATTTATGCTTTGCTAGATGGCCGTAGAAACCAGACTTGCTAGAATACTCCGCTGGACAAAAAGTGCATTTGTACTGCAATGCTTTTTGCGAGGACACAGTCAATGGTGACTCTTTGTCCTTTTTTTTGGTACTGTTAAGTTCCTCTAACTCTTTTCTTTGTTTTACCTTTCCTTTGGCTGTATAGAGTTTAAGTTTAATGCAGGTTTGCTTGATGTGTCTATTGCGGTTGCTGGCCACAGTAAACACATCTTTACACAAAGGGCATCGATACTTATCACCAATCTTTCCTTTGCCTTTTTTCATGTATTCATTGAGACACTGTTGACGCAAATGACGTGTACGATTGTAGGAGTACTTGAAAACGTGAAAACAGATTGGGCATTTAAACTTTGGTGGCAACTTGCTATCTGGAACTGAAGATTTTTCTTGTGGGACAATCTTTTGAGAACACTGCTCTCTTTTATGTTTGTTAAGATTCCAGGTATATTTGAATGCTTTTCCACAGTTGTCACACTTGAAGGGCTTCTCATCCGAGTGTGATCTAAGGTGTGCATTCAGTTGCGCTCTGAGCCTGAAAGTCTTTCCACATACTTCACAATGTATTCGTTCATGTGATAGGCTTGTCTTACAAACATCCATTAGTTTCACAAAGCAATTACGAAGTTCTACATTGGAGCCAACTGTTTCAACCACGTCTGCCATGTCGCTCTTTTCATGGCTTGATTCTGAATGATCTGCAGTCTGTAAACAAGGGTCTAGTATCAAAGGTGTGCATGTTGCTTTACGCTTGTGTCTTTGACATTTGTGAGCATTAGGAAAGTATAATCCACAACGGTCACATCTATGATGTGTGACAACTCTGTGCTTCAGCTCATGTTCTTCATAATAAGCTTGTCGAACAAAGGACTTCCTACAGTACCTACATATGAACTTTGCTTTCTCCTCAGTTAGCCCTTTGGTATGCGAGGGGGATGGTTTTATCTTGTCATTAAGCTCGGCTTTCCCACAAAAGTGTTGTCCAGCCAATGTACCACCAGTGAAGTAACTTTCACAAGTGGAACAATACTGAGACTTATGGAGAGAATGCATGCAGTGGTAGTGCTCAATTAGTTCATCTACACTTTGTGCTGACTCTTGGCATTCAGAGCAATGGTATTTTTTTCCATTACAAGTTTTTTTCTCAGTTGTCTTAAGGAGAACAACAGGCTGCAGTTTTCCCTTTTGGGTCTTGAAATATGACAAAGAATCTTTGCTTGAAATGGTGCCATTGCCAGTCAGACATTTTTGCGGTCCAGGATCTAGCGAAGTCCTGGATGTTTGGTCTGTACCGAGTACTGGTGGATCTTTTGGTGCATCAGTTCCCTCATCCATCTTATTATTAGATTCAAAGGCAGTTTTCAGAAGAACTGGTGGTTCAGTGCGATTAAACGGACTGCACTCATTGACTTTGTTTGCATGTGCATGTTCCAGGTGTTTCAGTTCCTCAGTGTTCTGCGCTGTAGATTTTAAACCAAAACAAGACTCAAGGAATCCAAAACTACTCCGTTCAACTTGTTCATCATCAGATGTAAAACATTTCTGTCCTACTAGCTGAGAAGAATTTCCATGGACAGGTTTTGAAGAGATACTTTTAGGATCGGGTTTGTTGCTTTCCAATTGACAGCTATCAACAGAATTTTGTCCATGTCCAGATACCCCAACTGTCTCTTGAAATCCAGGTTTTGATGATGTGCTTTTAGTATCTAGTTGGTTGCTTTCCAATAGACAGCCATCAAGAGAATCTTTTCCATGGCCAGATATCTCAATTTTCCCTTGAATGTTGGGCTTTGAGGATGTGTTATCAGGATTTCGGTTCATTACATCTAATTGGTAGTCACCAAGTGAACATTTTCCATCACCAGAAATCACAAATGTTTTTTCAGGTTCAGGATTTGATGATGTGTTTTCAGGATCTGGGGTTGTCCTTTCCGATTGGCAAACACTTAGTGAATCTATGGTTGGGCAAATGTTTTCATCCCTATTAGAAGTCGATGAAGTATCAATATTTGCATGATTTGAGGCACAAGTGGAACCATCCTGAGAGGTAACAAACTCTTTGCAATGATCCAAAAAACATTCCAAATCACAAGTCAATTCCCTTTCCTCAATTTGCTCATCTTTTGACAAAGGTACTGCACCATTCATATTGTCCACATCTTGTACTTCCGTACATGGAACCTCAGCATTTGTAAGTAGTAACCCCTCACTACAGTCACTACCAGTTTGGTTTACACTTTCATTGCTCTCACCTGTGGTCACTGGAAGTCCAGTGTCCTGCTGTTCATTTATTTCACTCATAACTGCTTCCACAGTACTATGGCAGACCTCAGCAGAAGATAAGTGCATTGTATTACTTGAAATCAGGTCTCCTTCATCTGAAGGCTGACCAGCCTGGTTGCTCAGGCCCGATGAACTCAAATTGCAATCAAGATTTGCTTCCGTGTCAGAGCAGCTGCTAATATCGGAATATTCGACAAGACTAGCATTTGTCTCAAAAGCAGATTCTAATATGGCCTTGTCAGAATGTGCTTCCAATGTGGACTCAACCTCTACTGAGTTAGGCAAGAGACAGGGTGTAATGTTACCATTATTTTCTCCTTTATCCCCTGGCTTATCCTGTTCAAGGTCAGCCGAATTCATTACATCTTGCCAACATGATTCGTAGCATGTGTGCGGCAGAGAACCAGACACCAAGTCTTTTATGTCTGATTCAGCAATGTCTTGCAAATCCATCATGCTTGAAAAGTTCTCCTTCTCAATTAACTGTTCTATCTCATGAGCAAAGCTCTCCTCTGATTCCACTGGAATTCCATTACAGTCCATAGTTCCAAAAGAAGTTTCCGGGCTCTGTTTAGATAGAATTTGTGCTTGCTGAAGTGCATTCCATGTTTGAGCCATCCTGGTGTTCTCCTCCAAGGACTAGTTCTCCTTAAACTCTGAAAGACAAATGTCCATGTGATTACCAAAAAGCACATGTTTGGAAGTAAAAATATGCAGTAAGAGAAAATGAAATGCTCACCACACTTATCCACTACATATCAGTGGGAACATTATAGCTGATTTGACCAAAGCCCTGCATAAAGAAAAAGAAAATCTTTCAAAATCACCATATACAAACCATAATTACTAATAAAAACCACCGTTTTCATGAACTAGTATAAATATGCATAAAAATCCCCATGTTCAAAGAAAAAAAAAAACATGCACACATTACTGCCAACTAGTAGTACTGCAACACCATTATGCTAAAACAGCAGCAATGAAATAATGTGATCTGAAGGTAATGGAAGCACTAACTATGCAATCTAATTTTGGAGTTGGACAAAATGAGGTTTCCTCATTACAAAAAGAAATTATAAAAGTCCTACAAATAATATTTAATGTAGTCATTTTAAGTGACTTATTCTACATGGAGGGGTTGCTCCCTCATGTTGTTGAGATGACATGAGGACCAGTGGTAGCTGTTAATGCTACCACCATTATAAAGAATACCAAGAAAAACAAAAGTAAATGAAGAGTTTGGTTACAAAACACGATAAACGGCATTTAAAAAAAAATGGAGTTTCCGTCAAAATCAGTATTGTATCTGGTCGGGATTGAAAAGTCCATTTTAAATTTTACGCAAAATGCTATATCCGCCGAGTTATTCTGTCATGTTTTCTCCCTTTCTTTCCAAACCGCGACAAACGCCAGTCTCCCTTCTCTGCAGAATGCGATATATCTGCTCAACCAATCACAGCACACCATTCCATGCACTCTAGACAGTAATGGCGGCGCTTTGAATACACCCGGCATCCTAGTTTTCCTCATCTATTTTGTACTTTGTGATCAACAAACAAACTTAGGGCTGCACGATAAATCGCATGTGATTGTCATGCGCATCTCATCAGTAAAGCCGGTTCTGTGATTAATAGTAAATCTCCATCATGTGCTTTCAGATGGATACACAGAGCCGTAGATCACTGACAAGCTATGCAATATCGCATTCATAATCGCAGATGAGTCGCATTCGATTATGAATGCGATATTGCGTAGCTTGTCAGTGTAAGTGTTTTTATTAATGCCACTTATGTTTTTTGTTAATACAGCTTATAGCACTAGTCAACTAAATGAACGTAACATGGCAAAGATGAATGCACTTTTGGAAGTTGAATGTAAGGGAAATGTCATTTTGGAATTTCTGTGGTCTAATGTGATATTGTTGTTCATGTTCATGAAAAAACAAACAAAAAAAACACAAAATTCTTACTTTTCATTGAAGTAAAACAATTGAAAGTAGGGGGGGAGGGTCACATTATGAAATAAATGCGTTTCTCCAATGCATGTTGGCCACAATTATTTGCACCCCTAGAAATTCTTATGATTAAAATATCTCTGAAGTATATTTCTATTCATATTTCCATTTTTTTAGCACACCAGGATGACTAGGAGCATGAAATTGTCCAGCAATGACTTTCTGTTCCACAGGATCATAAATATGAAGAACACAAAGGCCAAATTCCCTTAATCATCCATCACAAGGAGTAAAACCAAAGAATATAGTTCTGATGTGCAGCACAAGTTTGTTGAGCTTCACAAAATAGAAAGTGGCTGTAAGAAAATAGCTAAAGCATTGAAAATACCCATTTCCACCATCAGGGCAATAATTAAGAAGTTCCAATTAACTAAAGATGTTACAAAAAGGATGTGTGTCTATATCGTCCTAATGAACTGTGACTCCAAGGATCACAGCTGGAGAATTGAAGATTATAGTTGAAGTTTGGGTTTGAAGAAAAATCCTCCTTGCTTATCCAAAAACAAACTCCAGAATCTTTAATGTTGTGGGCATATTTTTCTGCCGGAGGTCCTGGACATCTTGTTCAGATACATGGCATCATGGATTCTATCAAATACCAAAAGATAAAAAATCTACACCTGAAGGCCTCTGTTAGGCTATGGCTGGATCTACTATCAGGACAATGATCCAAAACAAACATCAAAATCAACACAAAAATGTGTCACTGAGCACAAAATGAAGCTTCTGCCATGGCTGTCCCAGTTCCCCGACTTGAACCCTATAGAAAATGAGTGGGGTGAACTGAAGAGAAGAAGCATCAACATGGAGTTGGGAATCTGAAGGGTCTGGAGAGATTCTGTATGAAGGAATGGTCTCTGATCTCTTGTCAGGTGTTCTCCAAACTCATCAGGCATTACAGGAGAAGACTCAGAGCTGTTATCTTGGGAAAAGGATGTTGCAAAAATTGGGTGCCAATAATTGTGGTCAACGTTTCATAATAAGATTAAATTATGAAGATTAATTATCAATTTAATTATGCAGATTAATTTTCACAGCCACCTTTGCTCATATTTACCAATCATGCCAATTTTAGTGGAGGGCACTGTATAAAATGTGAAGAGAGAGCTTCAGGTTTAACAGGTCAACTGGTAGCAACAAAATGGCCATGAAGCGCCACCAGTGGTCTACTGAAATCTTCGGTTCACACCTAAGGTTTTTGTAAATTGTCAAAGAGAAGACTGACTGGTTCTCTTATTGTGAACAACCCTCTACGGACACAATGATGCTTGAGTCGCCATTGGCTAGCACATTTTTTATTTTACTTGCCAGACTTTTTACATGAAATGCATGAATGATGCAACTGAACAAAAATAAATAAATAAATACATTAAACAAAACATACTTTGTCTGTCTGAATTATTCTTTATGGTTGCATATGGATTTAATCTATTATTTCTTAGCAAATGGCTTTCTCTTGCCACTTGACTTCAGCCACCTCTCCACAGCTGATGATGGATCATACTGCTGAAGCTCTGGGCCTTCTGTTGAAATGAGGATCAGGTCTGAAAGGCGTGAGGATGCGCGTCTGCTGCGGACATCTCTTTTTTTTCTCTTTTGGGCACTGAAGGCTCTTTCGCAGTTGGCAGAGCTGATTGGGACAACAAGTAGAATCTGAACAAGATGAAGAATGTTTTGCATCTCATCTCTGTAGGGTTGCTTCAGCAGCAGCGTCTGGTACAGGCCCAAGTAGGACTTGCCATGAAGATCATTAGACACTCGCCTTTTCAAGCGTCTCCATTCCCCAGGGATTTCTTCAACTTGACATCCAGATTGCCTTGACAACAAGCTTCTCTCTGAACCATTCAGTGAGTACCTTCAGCTCCTTGTTGCCGAACAATAGATCAAGTTGTTTTCTGTCATCATGCCACTTGTCATGGTTGAATATTGCAAATGCTGACATCACAGCTTGTGCATTTTGATCTTTGTTAACTCCAAGCAGGTTATCCAATTTAGCATGAAGGTGTTTCTCAAAGGCTGAACATGCATGCTCCATCTGTTTTCTCAGATTGTCCATCAGGCTCTCTCTTTCCCCTCACAAGTCAATGCCATTTAAAGTTGTGATATGAGCACCAGGAGTTTGCTTTTCCAGACACTGTGTGATGAAAGTTTCCAGCATACCATCTGGGAGAGGGTTGGTTTTCATGTAGTTAAGACTGGTCAAACATCTCTCAACTGCAGCAACAACACTTGGTAGGATGAGGTCTGCCTTCTGTAGAGTCTGACTTAATATTGCTATCTCATGCAGCACATCAGCCAGGAAATGACAAAATGCAACAAACTGCAGATCCCTCATGGTATTGAAAACCTTTTTCCCCCTACCAGCAATGTCAGCATTGTGACTGGTTTGGGCCAAATTCTCCATATGAATGGCAACAGCTGCATACTGCCCAGCTTGGCTAACAAGATCGTCTTTTACTCTCAGGAAGACCTTCAGTGCCCTGTCTAAAAAGGCACCCAACGTTTTCCTTTTACTGGCTTTGGTTTGTAGAACCTAGATTCAAGTTCTTCACAAACTGTCTGAAGTTCTCTGTTGCTCTTTGGGCTGAAATGGTAGGTTTTCCAAATCAAGTGCAAGGTGTCATTTACACGACTCGCTAAGCTCACATCTTTCAAAACCCCAAGAAGTGCCAGCTCCAGCCTGTGAGCCATACAGTGAATGTCTATGAGTTTTGGATTGTCCACTCTCAGTTTTGCAACAACACCAGCTGTTTGGCCCATGTTCACATTTGCACCATCAGCACAAAATCCAACAAGCTTTTGCTTCCAGTCATCTAATCCAAATTTTGACATTGAGGATTGAATGCAGTCAGTCACACCTTCAGCATTTCTGCAGTTTAGCGCCATCTGCTGTCAGAGAGTGAAAGTGCGCTTTCATCCAGAGCGTCTCTCACATGTTCCACCATGTGCTTCTCGTCCGCGCTTATTTACATCAGAGTGCGCACGCGTCTTTCACGCAGCGGTGTTGTGCATTTTGACAAGTTGATGGGAAAAGTATTATTAAAATGCATTCAAAATTCTGAATAATTTGTAATATATAATTATTCACGGTATTTAGAAGTGCCCACGATAACAATATCGTGCATACTCATTACCGTGATATATCGCATTACCGAATACCGGCACAAGTCTACTGGCAACTAGTGCTGTGTTCGATACGACGATGTATCGTCACAGAGATTTGTCTGATCTGTCCCTGTATCGATATTGTGGCAAGTGTGCAGCAGTGGACCGCGCTTAATTTGAATACAAGAACAAGAACAAGGTTTAATCTGGCCGCAGAGGAACACAACTGGGATGCCTGATATAAAGAGACGTAATCCCCGAAACAGAGCTTCACACTTGCGCAATATGGAAATATCTGCTAAATGTGTCAACCTGGCAACCATGAGCACGCGCGCTCTCTCTCCACTGTGGATAAAAGCGCTTATTCCTTTAGAAACAACAATGTTACCAGCTCCTTGTTGAGAAAGATAATGTAGCTCTTGAGTGATTAAGCTATTTAGTTGACAAAAATTGCGGGGCAGCGCTAAAAAGTTTGTTCCTAAATGTCTGAGTGCGGCCGCAACGTGATCTCTGTGAGTGACTGAGCGTGTGTGTGCGTTAGATACAGAAGACAGCGGATTAGTTTAGAACTCTTCTAATTGTTATTTTTTAAATGTAGAGAGTGTGTTATTTTGTGCAATGATAACCTACCAGCAATGTAAATATGATTTTTTTTTATATATTAGAATGAGTAC